TAAAAATCTATCCACAGCAATAGAATTATCCATTATATAATAACTCAATCAAAATATTACAAAGAAATGATATTTAACTTTTTTTTAAAAAAATAAATAAGTATTATTCTCTAATTGAAAAGAATAGCATATTTTCTTGAAGTCCCGCATTCTATGAATGATTTTGATGAAAATTAATTATTTTTCTTAATTTTTAAGGCCAGATTTTTATCTGTAACTTTTGATATAAACTAAGGTTGCAAGCAAAAACCCGGAGGTTTCGACAGGCATCGAAATCGAAACGCGTCGAAACGTTTTGCCAAATATTTTTTATTAAAGGCAAAATTGCGAAAGTTTCGACGGGTGCAAAAGTTTTGACGGATGGCAAAACCCATCGAAACTTCTGATATTAAAATACAATCCTTGAATTTAAAAATTTATTATTTTTGTTTTACGAGATGAGCAAATCGTATGTATATATCAAAGGTCATTCTTTATAATATATATTTATAAAAGATAAAAAAATTCAAAATTTACATATAGAAAATCATTTATCTCATAATTAATATTTTCTTCATTTAAAATTCCTATCTCCTTCTTTCATCCACTTTCTAAAAGTTGGAACGGATTTGATAAATCCAGATTATCCAATTCGAATTAATCTTGATTCATTTAATACTCCGGTGACTTTGATGAACTAAATTAATCTCTTTTTTTTTAAAAAATAAAAAACCGTAGTTGAGTTAATCAAAAGATTTGCTTTTAAATTAAGATGCGAACTAGTTGATAGTAAAAAAGGAACAAGTTGTTTTCTTTCATGAAATAATTTGAAATGAGTTAAAAACAACTAACATTGATGTTTGAAAGTATTAATATGTAAAAATTTAGCGCCGAGGTCGTATTATCATGCAACCTCTTGCAACGACATTTTTGCCGTCTACTTATTATATTTACTAGACTCATTCTACTCATAATGACTATTTTTAATTTATAGATTCTTCATTTTTTTATATTTATATTTTTATATTTGCATAATACTTAAGTGAAATCAAAAAATAGCAATAATTTATTTATGCATATTTTTTTAGTAGATATTATTTTTTAAATCTTGTAATAAAATATTTTAATGACTAATTCCAATGAAAAACATATATTGTGGTGCTTAGTTATTATTAATTTAAATCTCTATTTTATATCTTTTGGTTATTAAATTGAATATATAAAGTCACCGGCCAGAATTAACCGTGACTTCTGGTGAAAAATAGAGTGACGATTGGGAGTTTTATCAACAAAGTTCTTTTGTGATAAAAATATGTCACGTGATTTCGTGGAGATATGCTTGCTCCACTAATGACGATAAATGAATTGCCGCGGTAGACTTTCTTTATTTTTAGATTTAATGTAAATAGACTTCATATGTTTCGATAAGAAGAATTAATTTAGATTCTCTTTTCATAAATAGCGCCAGCTGAGGTTGTAGAAGGAAATAAAATATTTTAGTAATATCGAATTTTGAATATATCGAATATCGGTATTTCGAGACTTCGTTAGGAATTGTATTTAGTAGTTATTTTTTATTACGAAACTAAATTAATTTCGTATTTGAATGACTGATTTAAAATAATAAAATGAATCTTCACTAAAATGTTTTGATCGAATCAATAACTTATACCAGCTTTGCTCCTATATTTTTTATTAAACATGTACATTTAATTTACCTGAAAAGTTTTGTTATTTTAAATTTTGCAAAATAATTAGCGATAGTTGCAACTTTTTATAATTCAAATTAAAAAATCATCAAAACTTATAAAAAACTTTGCCTCTCTCGATCTTTTGATTTAGGGATTTGATCGATTTGAGAAACAATTTAATCGCGATTATCATTCAAAGATTCGATTATCGATTTTCGATTAATCGAATTAAAATCGATTTTTACACATTAAATTTTATGGCGTAGTTAAATCTAAAGACCGACCTGTAATAAATAAATAAATGAACATCAGGTTTCAAAATGATTGATACATGATTTATTGAAATATCATAACCATTTTAGTTAATATTTCAGCAACAAATCGGCAATATATCATACCATTTTGGTAATTCTGATATTTGTCTAATATTTACTAAAATCTGCGTCAAGAACTGGTTAGACAAGAACTATAATAATTTATCGCGAAAATCATTTTGTTTAATAATACAATTTTCATATTGGCCCGATTTGTCTCTCATTACTAGTTAGTGATAAATATGAATTTTGATCGACATGTTATCACGTGCCGATCAAAACAATGATATTATAATGACGCACATGATATATTATATGTCTTCGAAACTAGGATTTTGCAACTTCGAAACCTGTTGAGAATTAGTTTGGAATTGGTTTTTTTTGGAAGTATTTATTTTTTTTGTTCTTGATAAATAATATCAAAATATTGTAAAAACTTTAGTAATTAGTGAAATTATTTACAAAAAATGGTAGAAACAATACTTTCTATTGTGTCAGAACAAGCTCAAGGTAAAATAACTTTTTAACATATTTTTTAATATATAGAAATGTTCTAATGAAATCTTTTTATAATAGACGCTTTTTCTAGTCGTGATTTTATACATGACTATCCAAGTAATTCAAAAATTGAAGCCCGTTATCAGTCAAATGGACGACTATACTGTTCACATTACAATGTTCTTTCTTTGGGAACTTATCCTTCTACGCCAAAATTAACTCAAAAATCTCGAAATAATACATTTAAATATCATATACCCAATAATTATATAGTTAAAACAGAGGTTTTTGAGTATAATGTTAAGTGCGAAACTAAATAAACTAAATACATTTTAGATTTAAAAGTAAGTTATACAATTAGTTGGAAAATAGGACGTGCAGAATGGAGTGTTAGTAGTACAAAATCTTCTACAGCAGTTTTTAATTTATTTTTACAGGTACAATATAACTATTTTGTTAAAAATATTATAATTATCTATATTTAATTACTTTAAATTATTTGATCAGAAAATCGGTCAAAAACAATCAACTAAACTCTCAGGACCTCGATTATTTGGATTCGATATTGTTATACCATATTCGTTTACAAATTGGTTCTTGTCCTCTTATTACTACTATAGCAGAAGCTAATAAATGTAAAAGACCATTTGAAGATATTACAGAAAAATAAGCGATTAAATAGATTCAGAAAAGATATACAGTAAGTCATTGATGAATTAATTGTCAAGCATAAATTAATGAATTCAGTTGGAGAACCAATTGTACATATACATCATATTGAATTAGATTATAAAGAAAACCAAGCTTTTATCAAATTTAAAAATTCAAATCCAGAAGCAACTCAAATAAGACTTTATGCTATTATACATGTGGGTGATGAAGCATTTTTTCTGTAATAGATATCAGAATTTAGCAGCAGTTGTATTAACTCTTTTTAGAGAACATTTAGTTGCTAATCATCGAATTGAAATAATCAAGCTTATAAATACACAAATTAATATAGGAACCTTTAATATTGATAAGAAAATTGATGATCAGTTAAATATTAATGATTATAATGGATATACAGTACTAATGATATCTTAGTAGATGCTGTTGAAGTAGGAAATAATGCTTTTCATTCTATATTAACTTTGCTTAAAACATTAATATTGATTTGAAAGACAGGAGAAAATGCTGTTATAACTCCTAAAGATATACTTTATATTAGAAATAGTTAAAATGTTGGGTGAAATAGAATCATTTAATGATAACATTCTGTCTATTAAGAAGTTTTGAAGCTGATTTTCAATAGTGATAAGTAATAGTAATTTCGATTATTATGATTAATTATTATTATAATTTAACTAATTTATATAATTATAGTAAAAGTTGGTCAATTATTTCAAAGTCAATTATTTCAAAGTCAATTATTTGATTTAAAAAAATAATGAATTATTGATCAAGATAATATTCATTAACCTGTTAAATTATTCTTTATGGAGATTAGAAATTTATGTACATTATTATGGGTATGAGCACACCTAATTCTTAATTTTTTATTTATATTATAACTATAAAGCATCATCATGATGGGATATAGATAAATTATAGAATAATGCAAAAAATACATTATATAAATTTATTAGTCTGAAGCGAATCAGAGGACTATATAATTCAATGCTGTTTGACTCAAAATGTCTGTTTTCTCCTGCTCATAAACTGAGTCAATCAATATTATTAGTTCCTATTGATGCATAAACTTTAAAATAGTAAAATAACATGTTATTGTTTACGTTTTTAAATTTAAATTAAACACAAATAAATTATATTACTAAACTAAAATAAATATACCACTAAAAATATATCACTAAAAAATATATCACAAAAAAAAATGCCACTAAAAAAATCACTAAAAAATAGCACAAAAAAAAATTTTGTTTACTCTCTTGATATTATAGAAATTAGGCATTCTTCTTTGACCTTCCTTTCTTGTAATCTTATGCAACTCTGAATCTGTTAAGTCTTTTGTAAGTAAACTGCTTAAAATAAATATTGTTGAGCGAATGAATTCTTGACACTGTAACAAACAAAAGACTGGAAAATTTTTTGCATCACGTATATCAATTTTTTTGTATTATATTAGTTAAGAAATAATAATCATGTGATATACAATTCATCATCCTTTATTGGTTAAAATCTTAGCTCCAGACTTAACAACAGCTTGCTGTTTTCTAGTTTATTATATTAATTATTAAATTAATTATATTATTACTATGAAATTTATTTATTTAGTATAATTTATTAGACAAAAAAAAACCACCTTTATTTTTAGCAATCAATCAAGAAAATTATATACTAGATGAATTACATTTATTTTTATATATATTTGATGTTATAATGAATTGCTTATTTGCTGATTTAATTAAACTTAAAGAATTTCAAAAGCAAATTAAGTTAAAAATTAAATTAGCATTTAAAAATATTAAAACTCAGTTTGAATTTTTTTAATCTAAATTAACTGGAAAAAATTGGAATTGGACTTCTTTAATGAGCTTAGATAAAAAGAAGATGTTAGAAAATTTTCAGCTTTACAATTTATTTTAAGTACTTGTGAAAGAGTTTTATTGTTTATATATAGTTTTACATAAAGAATATCTTTCATATCAAGAAATTGATCAATTTGAAACTGATGTCTAAAATTGGATTCGTATATTTTATTATATAACACAAGATCAAATAAATAATACTACTCAAATTCTCAGATTATATAAAAAAATGATGTTATATCTTATATGCATATTTTTGTGAAATATATCTTAGTACTTATGTCAATTAAAAGAAAAAGATCTTTCTTTACAAATTTTCTCTATTTCAAGTATATAAAAAAGAACCATAATCAGATATTAAATAATTAATTTCTTTTTAGATTTTTTCCAAACTAAATAAAAATTTATTATTTTTTCTAATTATATTTTAACTTTAGGTTTGCTTATTTTTTGGAGATACAACTATACTGAGGGAACAAAAATATTGTATAGCTTAAAAATAAAAATTTAAATAAATTTATTATAAGTTACTTACCATGTGATTTTTATACTAAATAGGTTAGCAGTTGCTTTAAAGGGATATTTATTTATTGTTTTGATTAAATGTGTAGCAATTAATAAATTCACTTTTTAAAAAAACCAAAATTTTCACCTTTGCACATA